AGGCCTAGGGTTAGGTTTTTTGGGTTCGGGATTCAGCAAAAACCAACAAATATTTCCTTTTCTTCGTCTTGTAGATATACGCTAGTTGGAAACACATTGGTTGATGATGAGGCATCAGTGAAGACACCCGCTTACCCATCCTCACTATCATCCCGCTTACCCATCCTCACTATCATCCCACCCATCCATCCTCCGCTATCATCCCACCTATCCTCCGCTATCATCCCACCTATCCTCCGCTATCATCCCACCTATCCATCCCCCACTATCATCCCACCCATTCATCCCCCGCTGTCACCCTACCCATCCACCCCCACCATCATCCCGCTTACCCACCCCCACTATCATCTCACCCATCCATCTTCCGCCGTCATCCCACCCATCCACACCCCCTGTCATCCCGCTTACCCATCCTCAATATCATCCTACCTACCCATCCCCGTTATCATTCCACCTATCTATTCCTGCCCGCCATTCCCCACTGTCATCCCGCCACCTCATTATTATTCCATCACTCATCCATCGCTATCATCCTACCCACTCATCCCTCCCCCCCACCATTATCCTACTCATTCGCCCCCGCTATGTAGAAGGTCGCATTAATATTGCCACAATAATTTCAACATACGAGCACAAATTGATAGCATTCGAAAAAGTTCCATTCTTTAAAAAGATTATTATTAATTAAATAATTGAATTAAAAAAATAAAAAAGCAGAAAAATAGCAATTGAAATAAAATAAATGATAAATGACAGCTGGCAATATCAGACACAAAAACTATTATTAGCTAAATTTTAATCAATGCTTAAAGTGTGATGATCAATCATTTTCTTCTTTCACCATTTTCCACCATTCTTTTTTTCATATGCCAGGTGTTATACGTAAATTGTCTGTATTATTTAAGATAGATTCATTTAATTGCAATTAATTGATTAATTGCAATTAACTTTTATTTAGATATTTTCGAAACGAAAAACATCACTAATCATTCTCATTTTATCATTTATTTAATGCAAAGAAATATTTGAACAAAACTATATTAGCTCATTAATTACATAATATATTAATTAATAAAAAGTACATTTCTTTTTTTTGGGAAAACCAAATTATTTAATTTATAATTACTAAAATGAAATTTTTAATTTATAATTAAAATTCGAATTAAATATTACTTAACAAAAAATACTTTTATAATTGAAATTCGAATTAAATATTGCTTAATGTAAAATACTTTTCTTTTTGAAAAACCAAATTATTTAATTTATAATTACTAAAATGAAATTTTTAATTTATAATTAAAATTCGAATTAAATATTACTTAACAAAAAATACTTTTCTTTTTAGGAAAAATCGAATTACTTAATTTATAATTGAATTGAATTAATTTAATTACTAAAAATGAAAGTAAAGTTAACAAATTGAAGTTTATCTGATCGAAAATTATATGCTAAATATATTAAATTTTATATCGCAAATTTATGAACTTAATTTTTTTAGCAAATTTATCTCGTTCGTTCTTTTCTTCATTCGTTATCAGTGAACATTTTGCCAGAAGAATTTATAAATGATATTGCAAATGATTGGATAGAAAACAAAATGAAACTATTATCAGTATGATAATAAATATGGAAATTGATAATGAATGATTCACAGTTTAAATTTGCATTTAATAATACTTTTTATGATACATTTTTGAAATAAAAAATTTTGCAAATATTTTTATTCAAATATTAAATTCTTTGATAGGTTTGATTAAATCCTAAAATGATAGGCAAATTACTTAAGAACTCAAAAACTCAATAACTCAAAAACTTTATCCTTTACTTTTTTTTTTAAAGGCCCATTTGTTGTCCATTTTAATTAGTTTATGATTATCTCAAATAGATCGCCATAAATTTCATTAAATGACCATTCACTTCTAATCGATTTCTATATCCATGCACATTTTCAAATTATAATTTTCTAAATTTGAATTACTACATTTTGTTTCAAAAAAAAAAAAAAACAATAAGCCTAAGATTAATTAGGCGAATAAAAGATAAATTAGGCTAAATCTATATGTATAGCCTAGCTTTTGCTCTTTTTTTGGCCATATAAAATACATCACATATTTTTGTTTTACATTCAACTGTTTCCTTTTGTTCAAAAAACAGCAAGCCTAAAGATTAACTAGGCAAATAAAAGATAAATTGGGCCAAATCTATATATATAGCCTAGCTTTTGCTCTTTTTTTGGCCATATAAAATACATCACATATTTTTGTTTTACATTCAACTATTTCCTTTTGTTCAAAAAACAAAAGCCTAAAGATTAACTGAGCGAATAAAAGATAAATTAGGCCTAAGCTATATATAAGTAATAGGTATGTGCACAATAACAGAAAGTATATTTTATTAAATATAAAAAATATATTATATCGAAATGTATTATAATATATCATATTAGAATATATCAAATTATATGGAAACTATATTCATATCAAAAATACATTATAATTAATGGTATTAAATTAATTAATTCATTCCTTTTTATAGCAATTAAGAAATTGAAGATGGAAAAGTTGGACAAAATGTTTTATTACGAATTTATTTTCATTGAAGTTATCAATTATTTTTCAATGATTAATTATTTCAACATTTTATTTATCGAATTAAAATTGGAAATTAAATTAATATTTAATGCATTAAAATTAATGAAAGGAAGAAGTTTTAAAAAATTTTTGAAACAAATTAATGAAATTAAGTTAATAAAAATTAATAAAGTAAAGAAAGAAATTAAAGAAACTAATAAATTAATTAATTAAAAATTAATAAATGTACCAATGAAATTCATAAATCAATGCTGAAATTTTATAAATGCATTTATTGACAGCTTGCTAATATGAAATTTATAGGTGTCAATATAAAAATGTTACCAAGGGAACAGGTAACATTTGCTTAATTATACGTAAAAATATATATGATTGAAATGTGTGATTCATTATTTGGTAAGCTAAATATTTAAATAACGCAATAATTGTTTAAAAAAGTTTTAAGTTGTGTAGCTTATTATTATTAATTATTACTATCATATTTTCTAATAAAATTTAATTACGGTATCACACATACATTAGTGTTGCTAAATAGATCATGTTCACCACCAGACAATGCTCTTGTCTCTACAATGATTTATAGTGTGGATAAATTTTAGCACAGATACTTTTCAATATAACGAAAAAAAA